CCCCCCCCCCGGTCGGGATACCCCTGAAAAGAATCAATTGTTCGCTTGCTACAGGCTGCTTATATAACTGACCAATAGGATTGCAGCATTTCCAAATATTCAAGCAATTGATAGCGAAGGCGGCCGAAGGCCGTCTGAGCGCACATGTACTACAATTTACACGTTCCATCTATCTATATACCTGTATATATGTTAATCTATCTGAACTATCTGAATATTTTCTATTTATACATGTAAAGAAGAATACCTGTTGGTTCGTTTTCTCTTCCCCTTCTCTGCCTTCTTCCATTTGTTCTTTCTCTCCCTGGACATATGCACTCTCCTTCGAACTGCAATTTTTGTCAATATTTCAGAAATTTAAAAATCTTTTCTTTCTTTGTTTTAATTGTGAGAGTTTTGACCATCACTATCAATGTGAATACATGCATGTATAAATATTGGCAGGACATAAAAAGGCAGGAAAACTTGAAGGAATATGGATCCAGTCTGTAACAATTGAAGGTTCCAATGTAAAAAAATATGGAAAAAATCAAATTAAAATCATACGCTTCTAATCGATTTTCCATTGTTTTTTAATGAAATGATCTAAAAAGCTAAATTTCCATCGACTGTTTCACCTATTTTCGGTTATAATCGATTAAAAGTGCACACTAAAATAAAATGTGTCGTATATATGTGTCGTACAAAAATGTGTCGCATTATAGATGTGTCATAGCCTATATGTCAATCGTTCATTCACCGATTTGTTTCGCGAGTGCAGCTGCATATAACCGAGCCTATTGGACGTACTTGACTTATACATTTTCGTATGTCTTTTTTTTCTAGATTATTTCTCGACCATTTATTATTCAAGAACATGTCGAGAGGTCGCTAGATGATCGAGAATGGACTGCCTCGAAGTAGTCTCATCGAGATCAAATGGTCTCGAGGCAGCTAGATCTTAAGATCTACCGTCTCGAACTCCAAGAATAGGTGCTACTGTTTGAAATTAACTGAAAAAATAGTAACTATTCGAATTTTCAAAAAAAAAATAATCCTCGTGCCGAAAAATGGATTCGAACCACGTGTTAAAAATGTGTCGCATGTGTCGCACAAGAATGTGTCGTACATCCGCTGGAAGAAATGTGTCGCAACGAGCTCCTCGTGTCGCATATTAATGTGTCGTACATTGTGTCGCAAAGTGCGACACATGCGACACATTTTATCTTAGTGTGTGGTCACAGAACATCGATTTTTATTGAGTTTTTTACCAACTTCTAATCAATTATGATCGTTTTGTTGCCAAATTGTAATCGATTAGAATCGAAAATAGGTGAAATAATCGATGGAAATCCAGCTTTTTGGACTATTTGATGAAAAATCGATGAAAATCGATAAAAAAAACATATGATTTTAACCGATTTAATCAAAAATTATTTGATTTTTCTGTGAAAAGTTTTTACGTGGATTCCATATCGTATCATACTGAAAAATGTATGTACACATATGAATCGTATTCCTTGCTCAAAATGATGACGTATTTGTTATTATTTTTGCAGACTCAAATGATGATTCAATACGTAATATGAATATACACATACCATATGATTACATGATTACGTGGTCAGTTATGGTACATGCCTTGAATATTATTTGGTTTCTTTGGTATTTGTTGTGCATTATTATGACGTATCATATTCCTTCTGACGTGTAATATGCTGTTATACGAATTTTCAAATGATGTCATGGGGTAACGCAATCGAAATACTTTCGTATTTTCTCTCGATATATATAGATGTCTTTTTTCATTGTTGTTTATTAAAAAAACTACAGTGTCATACAATATCTTCTAACGTTTCTACTTACTCCAGTAATATTACGAGATGCCACAAAAAAAGAAGTTCTTTGGGAAGAAGCACATCAGCTTCAAGAAGAATGGCAGCTTCCCGAGGTGCTGAGACTCCAGAACAGACAAGTACTCGGCTTAGAGATCAACGCAGAAGACAAGCGACTTCCAGAGCTGCTGAGACTCCAGAACAAACAAGTACTCGGCTTGGAGATCAATGCACAAGACAAGCGGCTTCCAGAGCTGCTGAGACTGCGGAACAACGACAAGCACGACGTGAGGAAGATCGAACAAGACGTTCCACTTCAAGAGCAGCACGTTGGACATTCATGGAGCGGGAAGCATTTCAATATGATCCAACCAAAAGCTATGCCAGTCGTCCTGAACTTTATATTGGACGAATGACAGAGATTTGCTCATATTGTGATGCACTCAAGTGGCCTGGAGAAGCACCAGGTATGTGTTGCTCCAATGGTAAGGTAAAACTGCCATCACTTCGACAGCCTCCTGAACCATTGGAATCATTAATGTCCGGCACAACAATAACATCAAAGCATTTCTTGGAGAACATTCGAAAGTATAATTCATGTTTTCAAATGACGTCATTTGGTGTTACAAGCGAGATGTGTGAGCCAGGTTTCATGCCCACATTCAAAGTCCAAGATCAAGTTTACCATCGTATAGGATCACTGTTACCGTCGACAAATGAAGAACCTAAATTTCTTCAAATTTATTTCATGGGAGATGAACAGCAACAGGCGAGACAACGATGCAATAGTATTCCAGGTACAAGACAAGATATTGTTATAGATTTGCAACGAATGCTTCATCAATATAACAGCTATGTCCATATTTTCAAGTCTACTCTAGAGAAGATGCTTTCTGACGAATACAGAGTGGTTATCAGTGCAGACAAGAAGCCTGCTAGGGAGCATGCAAGACGCTTCAACGAACCTTCTACAAATGAAGTAGCAGTCATCATTGCTGGTAACGAATTCGAGAGACGGGACATCATTTTGGAGAAGAAAAACAATCAGTTACAGAGAGTGGCAGAAACACACAGGTCATATGATGCGTTGCAATATCCACTGATCTTTTGGGAGGGAGAAGATGGATATCATTTTCTCATTATGCAGACTGATCCGACAACAGGAATGCCCGTCGATCGCAAAAAGGTTTCAGCCATGGACTTTTATGCTTACAGAATAATGATGAGAACTGGCGCTATAAATCACATCTTAAGATGTCGTCAGCTTTTTCATCAGTTTATCGTTGATATGTACGCCAAGATTGAGAGTGAGCGACTATGGTTTATACGGCTTAACCAAAAGAAACGTAGAGTAGACGAATACATTCACTTAAGAGATGCAATAGCTAATGATGGTAACGCCGATAACCTCGGTCAATTAGTGATACTACCATCTATATTCACTGGAAGTCCACGCCACATGCATGAATATACACAAGATGCTATGACATACGTGAGAAACTACGGAAGATCTTATCTATTTGTGACATTCACCTGCAATCCGACATGGGAACAAATTCAAGAAGAACTGTTGAAAGGTCAAAATTCGTCCGACCGTCATGATCTGTTGGCAAGAGTGTTCAGGCAAAAACTCATAAAATTAATGAATATTATTACCAAAAGCCATGTATTCGGACCAACACGATGTTGGATGTATTCTATTGAATGGCAAAAGAGAGGACTACCTCATGCTCATATATTGATATGGTTGAAAGACAAAATTAAGTCAGATGAAATAGACAATGTTATTAGTGCAGAACTACCAGATCGTCAACAAGATCCCCGTCTATTTGAGGTTATCGTAAAAAACATGATTCATGGGCCTTGCGGTAGTATCAATCCTGGATCTTCGTGTATGAAAGATGGAAAATGTACCAAAAGGTATCCCAGGCAACTTCTACATGATATACAAACGGGCGAAGATGGTTATCCACTCTACAGGAGGCGAAGTCCAGAGAATGGTGGTTTCAAAGCCAAAATCAAGGTGAAAATTGGCAACTCTATTCAAGAAATTGAAATCGATAACAAATGGGTTGTGCCATATTGCCCATTACTTTCTCGAATCTTTCGAGCTCATATTAATGTTGAGTATTGTAATTCGGTCAAGTCGATCAAATACATATGCAAATACGTTAAAAAGGGTAGTGATCAGGCGATGTTTGGCTTTGGAAAAGATGGAACAGCAATTGATGAAATTGAGCGATATCAGTTAGGACGATACATCAGCAGTAATGAAGCAGTATGGCGAATCTTGGATATTCCAATTCATGAACGGCATCCGACGGTAGTGCATCTGGCTGTTCACTTGGAAAATGGACAACGCGTCTACATCACGGAAGACAATTTACATGAAAGAATTAATGAACCGCTAAAGACGACGCTGACCGCATTTTTCTTACTATGTCAGAAAGATAAATTTGTCAGAACACTGCTGTATTGCGATGTTCCAAAATATTATACTTGGGATGTATCAGAAAAAGTTTTCAAACGTTGTGTTCAAGGAACGACTGTACCTGGTTATCCCAACATCAGAGCAACAAACGCTTTGGGTCGCGTCTATACTGTACATCCAAATAATTTTGAATGCTTCTTCTTGCGACTTTTACTTCATACGATTAGAGGCTCAACTTCATACGAAGCTTTAAGAACTGTAAATGGTAGGATCTGTGCGACTTTTCGTGAGGCCTGTCAACTAATGGGCTTACTTGAGGATGATGCGCAATGGGACGCTACAATGGCCGAAGCAGCTACTATTCAATCGCCCGCACGACTAAGAAATCTATTCGTCATTTTACTATTAGCATGTGGTCCATCCAATCCGGGACAATATGGGGATACTACAAAGAAAGTTTAACCGAAGACATCCTCATACAAGCTCGCAGAAAGAATCCTGGATTAGTTTTAAATTATATACCTGATATGTTCAATCAAACATTGATTATTCTTGAAGATAAAGCTCTGGGAATGGCTGGCAAAGATCTCAAACAGTTAGGTCTTCCAAGTCCTCAAAGAACTCTTGGCGATCGATTGACCAGAGAAATATTCAGAGAGACGAGCTACGACTTGAACGATTTGAACAAGTATATATCAGCAAATGAACCATTACTGTTACCAGATCAGAGGGCTGCTTATAATGCTATATTAGATCGGATCAATAGAAAAGCCGGTGGAACAGGAAAAACATTTGTCATTAATCTACTCTTGGCTAAAATTCGACAGGAGTCTAAAATTGCAATTGCAGTGGCTTCTTCAGGAATTGCTGCTACACTGCTTCACGGTGGTCGTATTGCTCATTCAACATTAAAGTTGCCTCTCAACCTTACACAATGTGAAGCTCCACTTTGTAATATTAGCAAAGGTACTGGAGAAGCCAAAGTTTTACAAGAATGTAAACTTATTGTATGGGACGAATGTACGATGGCACATAGACAAGCATTAGAGGCTCTGGATCGTACACTTCAAGATCTTCGTGGCAATGGGAAACTCGTGGGTGGAGCTGTTTTGCTTCTAGCTGGTGATTTTCGTCAAACATTGCCTGTCATCCCGAAAGGAACAATGGCTGATGAACTCAAAGCCTGCTTGAAAGCTTCATACCTCTGGAGACATGTTCATAAGCTGGAACTCAAAACCAACATGCGAGTTCATTTACAGAGTGATGTAGCTGCTGGCCAATTTGCTCAACAACTACTTAGTCTTGGAGATGGAAAAATAGCTGCTGATCCGACCACTGGACTTATCACTATTCCAAATAATTTTTGTAATATAGTAGACTCAATAGAAACTCTGAAAACCAGTGTATTTCCAGATATTCGACGCTGTTTTAATGATCACAAATGGCTCTGTGAACGTGCTATTCTTGCTCCGAAAAATGGTAGTGTAAATGCTATTAACTTGCAGATTCAACAACAGTTACCTGGTGTAGACGTATCATACAAGTCAATTGATACAGTTGTGGACATTGACCAAGCAGTACAGTATCCTACCGAATTTCTCAACTCGCTGGAACCTCCTGGAATGCCACCACACAGTCTGGTGCTCAAGGTTGGCTCTCCGATAATGCTTCTAAGAATTTTGGATGCACCAAGACTCTGCAATGGTACAAGGCTTTGTGTGAAAAGCCTAATGCCCCATGTGATTGAAGCAACTATCTTGACAGGCTGTGCAAAAGGAGAAGATGTATTTATGCCACGAATTCCCATGGTTCCTATGATATGCCATTGGAGTTCAAGAGTCTTCAGTTTCCAGTGCGTCTTGCTTTTGCAATGTCTATCAATAAAGCTCAAGGTCAATCGCTTAAAGTTGCTGGTATTAATCTAGAAACTCCTTGCTTTTCCCACGGTCAATTATGCGTAGCATGTTCAAGAGTAGGGACTGGAAAGAATTTGTACGTTTTTGCTCCTGATGGCAAAACTCGAAATATTGTATATCAAACAGCTTTAAAATAAAAAATGCGTTTAACTGAACTGTCTTCTTTGAATAAAAATAGCTCATAAAAGAGGAAAACATCGAAAAGCAACTTTATTACATCAAAGATCATTAACCAGAAACGGATTACAGCGATATTGTTCTCTCTTTCGCGAGATACATACTATCAATCTATCTTGACTAACATCGGGTACTTTCGCTAGTTTAATATTTATAAATATGAAGAAGTATGAGTTAGTATAGGTAAAAGTCTCTATTGAATTCAAGTCATCTGATTACTAAATAGATTTCTATGTAACATATTACTTTAATCGATGAAGGACCAGAACTGAAGAAAGAAGAACATCTTCAACAATTTAAAATCCTTTCGAAATTGGTTGCTGTCCAAATTTCTTTTGATTAAATTTATTATTGTTTTTTTTTTGTTTAGTTTAAAAAAACCACACAGTATTTTAGTAACTATATTAGAATATTTAACTGAAAAATAAAGCGTAATTTAGTTTGTTGATAAAAGTTTTTTTGTTATTGTTTTGGTAACTCTGTGATCTGCTAACATCGATGAAGAGCTAACTGTTTCTTGTGTCAATGTAATACCTCTTTGAACATCAAAAGTCCATTTTCCAGTTAAACTTGCATCAAAATACATAACAGGTTCATCTTCAAATTCAATATGAGCTATTTCATATTCATCAATATCAATTAGTTTATAATGAATTTCTCCTAATGAATTTATAATTGGTATAGTCCAAATATGTCCTATTTTAATATCATCTTGAGGAAAACTTGGTTCATTTGGTGGTGGTATTATAATCCGTCCATTTAATGATGATAATTCAGCAGGACGATTTATTGATTGATTTTCAAATATTCGATAAGTTGTTTCTAGTAATTGTTTATGTTTATATCGATCAAATGGATACATTCGAATAGAATTCATTTTTCTTTGAATATTGTCAATAGAATCAATTTTAATAATTTCTTCTGTATAATTCATTTCAATATATTCAATTGTTTCATCAAGACGTTTTTCAACATCATGACGTTCAATTATTTGAAGTTCTGAATATGTTAAACGTTGTCCCACAGAATATTTGTATTCCAATCGAACTGTTAGGCTTTTTTCCCATAATAATATTTGTAAAAATAACACGACGAATACAGCAATCATTTTAAATTCTTCGTTTTTTCTTTCTTCATATGTAGAATGTCAATGAAATAAATAAAACATTTTTAATCCAATTTTTTTTTCATAAGCAAGAACAAAAAAAAATCACTGTGAATATGAAAACAAAAGTAGAAATGCATCATCGAACATTCTTGTTCATAAAGTTAAAAGTAAAACACGATCAATTGAATAAAAATTTTTTATTCTTTTCAATAAAAAGAAAGAAAAAGGATGAATGTGTCTATAGTCGAAGGTGGTCAAAAGGAAAATTTAATCGTCTAACAAATACATATCTTTCAAATATTTATATGAAACACTTGACCATAGCAAAATATTCGTCAAGATATTTGCATATGTATTAGTTATGAAACCTGTTATTGTTTTGTCCAAATACCTATCTGCTGTTATTGTCCTTATGTAAATATCGGTAGGTAGGTCACTATTTTAATTTTTTGTCATGGTCAACTCACAAAAAATTTCTCAATGAAAACCATCATTAGTTATGATGCATTATTTTAGGATTTTTAGCGTTTTAATTGCAACATGGAAAGCAAGCCGTTTTAGTCTGACTTCTGTGGTTCTATTGAACTCTTCACGAACGTATTCTTCCAATAGATAGTCTTAGGTGCTTCTGGAAAATGAAAATAAATGGTTAGAATTCTATCATTTAGTACAACTGGTCGACATCTTGTTTTGCTTTACTGTGTCTCTATTTGCTTTTTAAATTGTAGTCTCAAGCCTTTCGAAAGAAAATAAAACTTATGTTAAATCATTATTTTCTCTTTTTGTTCTTATATGTACTTTACATCTTGAGACTATCCTAACTAATATTACTAATAGTTTTCAATTCTTTCTAAATTAGAAAAAGCAGTCGAATTAAGTATCACTGACTCATAAGTATAACATGTTTGAGCTGCATCATTCCGATCAGAGATCGAAGACGTTGTTTTTTTAGTTTCATCTTCGTATAGTGGAGACTTTTTTCTTGCTTATAATAATTTCATTAATTGTGTTTATAGTCTTCAACTTTGTTATGCAAGGAAATTTTCTTAACTGATTTTACTTCGTATTAACATTGAAATAGTATGTAAAAATCACATAAGTTTTTTTCAGTGTAAATAGTTGATGTAGAAGAAAGCTCCACAGCTAATATGACTATTTATTATTTTATGGACTATTGGCCAAGCTGATTATGACGGGTAAATACGAGTTCAATTTTGATATCAACTGTAATTTGCTAGTCTATAATTGGCTAAAAGAAAAACAAATTTAATTTTTTAATGCGCTAGATTAAATTTTAATCTATAATCTATAATAAGGCTTTACATAGATAAAATATATTAAAATAAAACACAGATTTTTTTACTGAAAAAGAAGATGTTTTTCAAATGATCATAATAGTGAGCATTGAATTTAAGAAAAAGAAATAATAATGTTTAAATATGTATAATAAATGATGTTTGTTTTCAATTGGGTTTTTGTCTTGTAAGTTCAATATTTAATCCACCTTCTGGTGCGTTAACAACATCGGCAGCAGCATAACATGCTTGTAATGTTAAACATTCATGTGTACCTAAAAGAAAATCTAAATTATTATTCATAAAATTAGTCATATCAGCTTGAGCATATCGTCCAAATTCATCGGATTCTTCTCTTATTGTTAATTGTTGTGCTAAATTTGAAAAACCAGATCTTAATGGTGAATGTAAATCAAAATTATCCTTTGGTGGATCTTTATTTAAAATACATTTATAAACTAATTTTGCAACATCATATGCATATAATTCAAGCCATGCTAATGTTTCTTTATTTGAATTTTTTTCACTTTGATTTGGATTAAATTTTTTTGCTAATGAAATAATTTCATTTTTATCTGGATGTGTTTCACCAATCATTGTGAACCATGCTATATCAAAATCAGTCATATGTAATGATAATGCTGTATTACGCATAAAATCTCGACATGATTTACTACAAATATACATTTCATGAAGTTCATCATAATTAATACTTTTTAAACCTTCATATACACTTAAATAATTAAGAAAATGTGTTCCACTATGTGCAGATACTCGTTCAACAGTTATAGCACGATTGTCAAGTAATTTCGGATTTTCACCTCTTAAATTTCTAACTGTTATATTTTGATCAATTGTTCCATGACCACCACGTTTTGATGGACGTGAACTTAAATTTCCTAAAATAACTGATATCCATGGTGCATTTGTAAATAATTTATTAAAACTTTCATTTGCTGAATGTTTATCATTAGAATCATCTAAATTTCCCATATAATTAAAATAAGCTTGACGCATTATTTGACAAGCTTTATGAAATTTTTCAATATTTTTTCTTTCATCATAACCTTTTGGTGCTCGACGTGGTAAAACATAATGTTCACCATTTGGTTTTAATTCTGTTTGTGCACGTGCATGAAGATTTTGTGCAACTAATGATTGTAATGTATGTAAAGCAATTGATGATGGAGAAAATAATATTTGCATTTGATGACCTTGAATTGTTAATAATGATGGACCAAGACTTTTAGCATGATAAAAACGTGCTGTTCGACCATTATTATGAGCAACTTCTGTAACACGTCCACCACCACGTTGTAATGCAGCACCACCACCACTAAAACCACAAATGATTAAATTTTTTAATTCAGGATATTTTGATTTAAATTGTTCAAGCATTGAATAAATTTTTCCTAAAGCTTGTTCTTGTGATGATTCAGCTCCACGACCATTACGTCTAACAGTATCACTTTTAGCTATCATTACAATTAATTTTTCACGATAAAATAAATGTTTTCGATAAATTGAATCATCAATTAATTCTGTTATTAAATAAGGTAATTCTTCTAAATCTTTAACTGATTCACTTAATGTAACAATATCAATAATTGTTTCTTTTTCAGCTACACTATTTCCAGATGCTTTTAATAATAAAAATGTAGCTAATACATGAACTATGGAACTTGTTTCAGCTATTATTAATTTATTAAATATATCAATATCATATTTAATTAATTTTAATCTACCAAATATACGTGCAGCCGTTTTACTACTTTTATCTAATATATCATCATCAGTTAAAATTAATTTTTCAATTATATTATCATTATTTAACCATTCAGTTATAAGTTTTTTTTTATCTAATAATGATAAGGACGAAAAATTTTCAATTAAACCATTCACTTTTACTAAATGATCAAGTGTTTCCATTATATCAAAAGCATTATGACGAATATCAATATGAGCATAATGAAAACGAAAAGTATTTATTTTATAAATAATATCTTGTGTATGAGGAATATATTCTAAATCGTGAATTAAATCATTTGGTGATTTATATGAATTATTAATTAATTTATCTTGAATAATTATTGTTTTATCTGATGATAATTTTTTAATATCATTTAAATATAATTGTTTAATACGTTGTTTTAATTGTAAAACAGCTTGTTTTAATACATTAACATCAGCATTTTCATTTCCATCTCCATCTCCTGCAGACCATATTGATACTTGTATAAGAGGTTTATTAACATCAATAAGATTTTCATAAGATGGAATTTGTTTTAATGCTTCAATTAATTCATAACGTACTTTAGTTGATGTTTCATAAATAATATCAATAATAGCAATTGTTTCTTCAACTTCTTGTTGAATTGTTTTTTTTGGTCCAGTTAATGGTAAATATTCAAGTAATTTTAAATGTTGTTCATAATCTGAATTATTATCTAAATATTTATCAAATTGAATTCCACCATTAACTGTATAATCAGTTGATATTGGATTTGTTGGATGCATTGTTAAACTAAATATAGCATAAGCACTTTGATTAAAAAATTCTTTCACTTTATCTTCTTGTACATTTTCATCTTTCATACGAGAAAAAACATATTCAAAACGATCAGCTGTTGCTGTACTATTTGGATTTTCAATTTTTTCATTATAAATTTTTGCATTAACAAATTTTCTTACACGACGTTCTAAATCCATTATTTTAGCATAATATTCAATTAATTTTTCTCTTTCAATACTACCAAATTTTAAATCATTTAAAACTTTTTTATAAATTTCAATACGAATATCACGATTTGGATTTGTACATATATGAAATATTTCTTTTAAATAATAACCTAAATTTTCATTTTTTTTTGAGATTTCATTTATAAATCTATATCGGATTATTTTTTGATCATCATCAAGTTCTAATATATCTTTATCCATTATTAAATTTATCTAAAATAAAATTACATTATTATTTCATTCAATTATTAAATGTGATGTAAATCTTCGAATATTTATTATCAAA